AACCACATTGCATTTCTATACTACAGAGGGGCATAGTGGGCAGGTACACCACTCACACAGGATGGCTAATCTTGAGTGCTTGAAGCATTCAGCACTGCACAAGGCTATATTTATTCCATCAAAGTGGCTGGTCCAAGCTCATCATTAAGCTCGAGGCCCTGGGTCTGAACCCCGCCCTGTGCAACTGGGTCCTGGACTTCCTGAAAGGCCGCCCCCAGGTGGTGAAGGTAGGAAACAACATCTCCACTTCGCTGATCCTCAACACTGGGGCCCCACAAGGGTGCGTGCTCAGCCCCCTCCTGTACTCCCTGTTCACCCATGACTGCGTGGCCAAGCACGCCTCCAACTCAATCATCAAGTTTGCAGACGACACAACAGTAGTAGGCTTGATTACCAACAATGTCGAGACCGCCTACAGGGAGGAGGTGAGGGCTCTGGGAGTGTGGTGCCAGGAAAATAACCTCTCACTCAACGTCAACAAAACAAAGGAGATGATCGTGGACTTCAGGAAACAGCAGAGGGTGCACCCACCTATCCACATCGACGGGACCGCAGTGGAGAAGGTGGAAAGCTTCAAGTTCCTTGGCGTACACATCACTGACAACCTGAAATGGTCCACCCATGCAGACAGTGTGGGTGAACAAGGCGCAACAGAGACTCTTCAACCTCAGGAGGCTGAAGAAATTTGTCTTGGCACCTAAAACCCTCAAACTTTTACAGATGCACAATTGAGAGCATCCTGTCGGGCTGTATCACCGCCTGGTACGGCAACTGCACCGCCCGCAACCGCAGGGCTCTCCAGAGGGTGGTGCGGTCTGCCGAACGCATTACCGGGAGCAAACTACCAGCCCTCCAAGACACCTACAGCACCCGATGTCACAGGATGGCCAAAATGATCATCAAGGACATCAACCACCCGAGCCACTGCCTGTTCACCCCGCTATCATCCAGAAGGCATCAGTACAGGTGCATCAAAGCTGGGACAGAGAGAATGAAAAACAGCTTCTATCTCAAGGCCATCAGACTGTTAAATAGCCATCACTAACACATTAGAGGCTGCTGCTGCCTATTGAAATCACTGGCCAATTTAAGAAATGGAACACTAGTCACTTTAATAATGTTTACATATCTTGCATTACTCATCTCATATGTATATACTGCATTCTATTCTATAATATGCTACTGTATCTTAGTCCATGCCGCTCTGTCATTGCTTGTCCATATATGTATATATTCTTAAATCCCATTCCTTACTAGATTTGTGTGTATTGGGTATATGTTGTGAAATTGTTAGATATTACTTGTTAGATATTACTGCACTGTCGGAGCTAGAAGCACAAGCATTTCGCTACACCCGCAATAACACCCCTTGGGGTCCCCGAGGACAGAGTTTGGGAAACCCTGCTCTACATAGTACACTACTTTAGGTTCATAGGGCTCAGGACCAATGTAGTGTACTAATATAGCGAAGAGGGTGCCATTTGGGATTCACAAGCTATCTTAACATCCCCACCCACCCCTCTGTTTCTGCCCATGGCTGAGTGTCCCATTGATAAAAGGATGAGAGGAGAAGGAAGATGTTGCTTCTTGTTGTAGAGTCTCACAAAGCTTTTATACAAAAAATGACATCATGTTTTCAATCCAATGCACCCGGTGCATTTTCAACATATAGAGCAGTAAAGTTCTGAAGGATTGGCCGACCACACTTGACTGGATCAAGAGAATCAGGAATAACGGTACATGTAGAAAAGCAAATTACACACAAACAAATAAAATACAAATAAAAAGTTAGCTTCATATTTTCTATGCCAACCGTGCTGTTAGGTTTGACACCATTATACAGTATACTGATTCCCAGTGAACACAATGCTGGCTTTTTAAAGAGAGAGAGAGAGAGAGAGAGAGCAGCCTGTTCGCTGTACGCATTAGGACTGAATCAGTTGGCCATCCAGCAGCCAAATCCTAACTCCTAGCTTCTGTAGAAAGTCAAAATACATCTTGAAAATGTCAGGAGATTTTCATCAACAGTGTCACCCCGGTGTAACGTGTCCAAAGGAAAACAAAAAAAAAGCATTTCCCTGGATTTTCCTCTCCTCCTCATGATGGTCGTAAAGTTTTTTTTTTTTTTTCAAAAAAAAAGTATACAAATTCATACAAAGAGATGAAAAAAGCTTTCCTGGAAACATACAACATGAAGAAGAGCGAACAAATGGCTTCTTAGTTAGAAATCCATGACTGGGGAACAGAACAGATCAAGATTGTTGTCTCCCATCCAAACAGGGATCCTGTTATTTGGACGTCCCCACAGGGCATTGGCTTGGTTGTCAAGACGGGGTTGACTTGGCTCCTCCTTCTTCAGAAACTCTAGACTCTACTTAGCAGAGTGGATCTGCGGAGCGAGAGAGGAGAACATCTATTAGCAAGACATCTAACAGACATCTATAATTCAGTGATAATGAAGCTGGTGTTTGGAGGATAGATATATTGGCATGGGTGTTAGGCCAGAGACAACGTCGAGGGCATTATCACTTTTATACAACGGGTTACCGACATATTCAAACAATGATTGACATACACTACCAGTCAAAAGTTTGGACACCTACTCATTCAAGGGTTTCTCTTTATTTTGACATTTTTTTACATTGTAGAATAATAGTGAAGCCATCAAAACTATGAAATAATAATATAATATAATATAATAAACACATATGGAATCATGTAGTAAACAAAAAAAAGGGTTAAACAAATCAAAGTATATTTTATATTTGAGAATCTTCAAATAGCCACCCTTTGCCTTGATGACAGCTTTGCACACTCTTGGCATTCTCTCAACCAGCTTCACCTGGAATGCTTTTCCAACAGTCTTGAAGGAGTTCCCACATATGCTGAGCACTTGTTGGCTGCTTTTCCTTCACTCTGCCGTCCGACTCATCCCAAACCATCTCAATTGGGTTGAGGTCGGGGGATTGTGGAGGCCAGGTCATCTGATGTAGCACTCCATCACTCTCCTTCTTGCTAAAATAGCCCTTACACAGCCTGGAGGTGAGTTGGGTCATTGTCCTGTTGAAAAACAAATGATAGTCCCACTAAGCCCAAACCAGATGGGATGGCGTATCGCTATAGAATGCTGTGGTAGCCATGCTGGATAAGTGTGCCTTGAATTCTAAATAAATCACAGACAGTGTCACCAGCAAAGCTCCCCCACATCATAACATCTCCTCCTCCATGCTTTATGGTGGGAACCACACATGCGGAGATCATCCGTTCACCCACACCGTGTCTCACAAATAACCAAAAATCTCCAATTTGGACTCCAGACCAAAGGACAAATTTCCACTGGTCTAATGTCCATTGCTCGTGTTTCTTGGCCCAAGCAGGTCTCTTCTTATTGGTGTCCTTTAGTAGTGGTTTCTTTGCAGCAATTCGACCATGAAGGCCTGATTCACACAGTCCCCTCTGAACAGTTGATGTTGAGATCTGTCATCATAGCGCTTGATGTTTTTTGCGACTGCACTTGAAGAAACTTTCAAAGTTCTTGACATTTTCCGTATTGACTGACCTTCATGTCTTAAAGTAATGATGGAATGTCGTTTCTCTTTGCTTATTTGAGATGTTCTTGCCATAATATGGACTTGGTCTTTTACCAAATAGAGCTATCTTTTGTATACCCCCCCCCCCCCCCCCCCCACACCTTGTCACAACACAACTGATTGGCTCAAACGCATTAAGAAGGAAATAAATTCCACAAATGAACTTTTAAGAAGGCACACCTGTTAATTGAAATGCATTCCAGGTGACTACCTCATGAAGCTGGTTGAGATAATGCCAAGATTGTGCAAAGATGTCATCAAGGCAACTTTTGACTGGTACTGTATATCCATAAAAAAATGTTATTTTGATGAATGTTTTCATACTATTTCATCCTTCCACGAGATATAGTCTCGACACAATTCTAGGGTTGCTACCCAAGCCGGCTGATCGTTCGTTCTATCGGTTCGGTTGCCAGAGGCGCGACCCAGTCGTTAAGTATTTTTGTTCTGTATCTATGAACGCGACCCAGTCGTTCATTCTAACTGTACTGTTGCCATGGCTGCCAACGTTCTTATCCCTTGCTTGCTAACCAGCCAACTTTGGATAACACAGTCACATCAAACAGTGCAGCCAGAATAACAGCAAAGTAGCTGACTTTCCATTTATTTAAGCTGTTTTCTAGTTATTTTTTTGGGGGGGGATATACATCCATAACAATGAGCTAATGATGTGCGATTTCGCCTGGCATTGAGCATTTGCTCTCTCGCCAGGTCACTGTTCAGAAGAGATAACCAACTACCCAGCTAACACAATCACTTCAAACTGAAGCCGGAATGACAGCAAACTAACTGCATTTCGTGTTTTTCTATTGACATTTCTTTGTATATAGATATCCATAAAAAGGACGCTGATTCGTGATTGACTGGCTGAGAAAAGCTGTCTACCTGTCTGTCTCGTCCCGAAATGCTATTACCATAGGACAGGTGGAGATCGAATTTCAATATTGAAACAATGTTGCAAATGTTGGAGACAGACAGTAAGGTTATTACAAATCTCCGCTGTTGAAAACCAAACGCTAGTCTAAAAGAAATGTGGCGATAATGTCTAGATGTTTTTTATAGTGGAGATCAAGTTTATAAATTGCCTGGCTGGGCTGATGAGACAGTGGATTGCGTAGTGAGATGGAACAGAGTAAATAGGCGTTTCAACGTCATAGATTTAGCCGGTGGTAAATTGTGGCATAGACACTGGCCGGAATGCAGTTTTAACCAATCAGCATCCAGGATTAGACCCACCCGTTGTATAACAGTTTATGTATTCCTGCATTCCTGCTACAATAGTAGAAATCAATACAACACAGCCATACCAAGCCTCTCTACTCGGTTCTACATAGCTGTTTAGATAAGGGTTAATACCACCCCCCAGCCCTGTCCTGAAACATTGATAAAGCACATTTCTGGGCTAGAGGGTCATAGCCGGACTCGAGGCACGTCGGCAAGGCTAGAGCCACATTGTGCTGACACGGGCAGTCTGGAGTCTCAGTGGGGAGAGAGAGAAACTACGCCAGTCTCGAGTAATGGGACAGGTTCTGTCTCAGTGGGGAGAGAGAGAAACTACGCTAGTCTGGAGTAATGGGACAGGTTCTGTCTCAGTGGGGAGAGAGAGAGAGAGAGAAACTACGCCAGTCTCGAGTAATGGGACAGGTTCTGTCTCAGTGGAGAGAGAGAGAGAAACTACGCTAGTCTGGAGTAATGGGACAGGTTCTGTCTCAGTGGGGAGAGAGAGAGAAACTACGGCAGTCTGGAGTAATGGGACAGGTTCTGTCTCAGTGGAGAGAGAGAGAAACTACGGCAGTCTGGAGTAATGGGACAGGTTCTGTCTCAGTGGGGAGAGAGAGAGAAACTACGGCAGTCTGGAGTAATGGGACAGGTTCTGTCTCAGTGGGGAGAGAGAGAAACTACGCCAGTCTGGAGTAATGGGACAGGTTCTGTCTCAGTGGAGAGAGAGAGAGAAACTACGCTAGTCTGGAGTAATGGGACAGGTTCTGTCTCAGTGGGGAGAGAGAGAGAAACTACGGCAGTCTGGAGTAATGGGACAGGTTCTGTCTCAGTGGGGAGAGAGAGAAACTACGGCAGTCTGGAGTAATGGGACAGGTTCTGTCTCAGTGGGGAGAGAGAGAGAAACTACGCTAGTCTCGAGTAATGGGACAGGTTCTGTCTCAGTTGGGAGAGAGAGAAACTACGGCAGTCTGGAGTAATGGGACAGGTTCTGTCTCAGTGGGGAGAGAGAGAAACTACGGCAGTCTGGAGTAATGGGACAGGTTCTGTCTCAGTGGGGAGAGAGAGAGAAACTACGCTAGTCTTCGAGTAATGGGACAGGTTCTGTCTCAGTTGGGAGAGAGAGAAACTACGGCAGTCTGGAGTAATGGGACAGGTTCGGTCTCAGTGGGGAGAGAGAGAGAAACTACGCCAGTCTGGAGTAATGGGACAGGTTCTGTCTCAGTGGGGAGAGAGAGAAACTACGGCAGTCTGGAGTAATGGGACAGGTTCGGTCTCAGTGGGGAGAGAGAGAAACTACGCCAGTCTGGAGTAATGGGACAGGTTCTGTCTCAGTGGGGAGAGAGAGAGAAACTACGGCAGTCTGGAGTAATGGGACAGGTTCTGTCTCAGTGGGGAGAGAGAGAGAAACTACGGCAGTCTGGAGTAATGGGACAGGTTCGGTCTCAGTGGGGAGAGAGAGAAACTACGCCAGTCTGGAGTAATGGGACAGGTTCTGTCTCAGTGGGGAGAGAGAGAGAAACTACGGCAGTCTGGAGTAATGGGACAGGTTCTGTCTCAGTGGGGAGAGAGAGAAACTACGGCAGTCTGGAGTAATGGGACAGGTTCTGTCTCAGTGGGGAGAGAGAGAGAAACTACGGCAGTCTGGAGTAATGGGACAGGTTCGGTCTCAGTGGGGAGAGAGAGAAACTACGGCAGTCTGGAGTAATGGGACAGGTTCTGTCTCAGTGGGGAGAGAGAGAGAAACTACGCCAGTCTGGAGTAATGGGACAGGTTCTGTCTCAGTGGGGAGAGAGAGAAACTACGGCAGTCTGGAGTAATGGGACAGGTTCTGTCTCAGTGGGGAGAGAGAGAAAGTACGGCAGTCTGGAGTAATGGGACAGGTTCTGTCTCAGTGGGGAGAGAGAGAGAGAGAGAAACTACGCCAGTCTCGAGTAATGGGACAGGTTCTGTCTCAGTGGAGAGAGAGAGAAACTACGGCAGTCTGGAGTAATGGGACAGGTTCTGTCTCAGTGGGGAGAGAGAGAGAAACTACGGCAGTCTGGAGTAATGGGACAGGTTCTGTCTCAGTGGGGAGAGAGAGAGAAACTACGGCAGTCTGGAGTAATGGGACAGGTTCGGTCTCAGTGGGGAGAGAGAGAGAAACTACGGCAGTCTGGAGTAATGGGACAGGTTCTGTCTCAGTGGGGAGAGAGAGAGAGAGAGAGAGAAACTACGCCAGTCTGGAGTAATGGGACAGGTTCTGTCTCAGTGGAGAGAGAGAGAGAAACTACGCTAGTCTGGAGTAATGGGACAGGTTCTGTCTCAGTGGGGAGAGAGAGAGAGAGAGAGAGAAACTACGCCAGTCTGGAGTAATGGGACAGGTTCTGTCTCAGTGGGGAGAGAGAGAAACTACGGCAGTCTGGAGTAATGGGACAGGTTCTGTCGCATTGGGGCTGACCCTCAGGTACACACACCATCCCGCGGAGGGTACACACCTCAAAGATTTCCATCTGTCCTTCTCCATGTTATTCTCAGGGCCTTCACTGTCATAGGAGGCCAGACACAGAGCTGAGAGGAGAGAGAACAGAGAGAACCGTCATCATATCATATCCACAGTATCATACAGTACCATAAAACACCTGCTTTCTCTGTAGTGTTGCATGTTTTCTGGAGGAGAAACACTGAACGTTAAAGTATAGCGGACTTTTTTTGGTTTCAATGACAATCACTTCGGCACATTGACCCTTTACAACATGAGAGCGGCATTGTGGCATTAAGGGGGGACGTTTTTGAGGGGTGTACATTAAGGGGGGGACGTTTTGAGGGGTGTACATTAAGGGGGGGACGTTTTTGAGGGGTGTACATTAAGGGGGGGACGTTTTGAGGGGTGTACATTAAGGGGGGGACGTTTTGAGGGGTGTACATTAAGGGGGGGACGTTTTTGAGGGGTGTACATTAAGGGGGGACGTTTTTGAGGGGTGTACATTAAGGGGGGACGTTTTTGAGGGGTGTACATTAAGGGGGGACGTTTTTGAGAGGTGTACATTAAGGGGGGACGTTTTTGAGGGGTGTACATTAAGGGGGGGACGTTTTTGAGGGGTGTACATTAAGGGGGGGACGTTTTTGAGGGGTGTACATTAAGGGGGGATATTTTTGAGGGGTGTACATTAAGGGGGGGACGTTTTTGAGGGGTGTACATTAAGGGGGGGACGTTTTTGAGGGGTGTACATTAAGGGGGGACGTTTTTGAGGGGTGTACATTAAGGGGGGACGTTTTTGAGGGGTGTACATTAAGGGGGGACGTTTTTGAGGGGTTGTACATTAAGGGGGGACGTTTTTGAGAGGTGTACATTAAGGGGGGACGTTTTTGAGGGGTGTACATTAAGGGGGGGACGTTTTTGAGGGGTGTACATTAAGGGGGGACGTTTTTGAGGGGTGTACATTAAGGGGGGACGTTTTTGAGAGGTGTACATTAAGGGGGGACGTTTTTGAGGGGGTGTACATTAAGGGGGGGACGTTTTTGAGGGGTGTACATTAAGGGGGGGACGTTTTTGAGGGGTGTACATTAAGGGGGGATATTTTTGAGGGGTGTACATTAAGGGGGGGACGTTTTTGAGGGGTGTACATTAAGGGGGGGACGTTTTTGAGGGGTGTACATTAAGGGGGGACGTTTTTGAGGGGTGTACATTAAGGGGGGGACGTTTTTGAGGGGTGTACATTAAGGGGGGACGTTTTTGAGGGGTGTACATTAAGGGGGGACGTTTTTGAGGGGTGTACATTAAGGGGGGACGTTTTTGAGGGGTGTACATTAAGGGGGGGACGTTTTGAGGGGTGTACATTAAGGGGGACGTTTTTGAGGGGTGTACATTAAGGGGGGATGTTTTTGAGGGGTGTACATTAAGGGGGGATATTTTTGAGGGGTGTACATTAAGGGGGAACGTTTTTGAGGGGTGTACATTAAGGGGGGGACGTTTTTGAGGGGTGTACATTAAGGGGGGACGTTTTTGAGGGGTGTACATTAAGGGGGGACGTTTTTGAGGGGTGTACATTAAGGGGGGGACGTTTTTGAGGGGTGTACATTAAGGGGGGGACGTTTTTGAGGGGTGTACATTAAGGGGGGACGTTTTTGAGGGGTGTACATTAAGGGGGGACGTTTTTGAGGGGTGTACATTAAGGGGGGGACGTTTTTGAGGGGTGTACATTAAGGGGGGACGTTTTCGAGGGGTGTACATTAAGGGGGGACGTTTTTGAGGGGTGTACATTAAGGGGGGACGTTTTTGAGGGGGGTACATTAAGGGGGGATGTTTTTGAGGGGTGTACATTAAGGGGGAACGTTTTTGAGGGGTGTACATTAAGGGGGGAATTTTTGAGGGGTGTACATTAAGGGGGGGGACGTTTTTGAGGGGTGTACATTAAGGGGGGGACGTTTTTGAGGGGTGTACATTAAGGGGGGGACGTTTGAGGGGTGTACATTAAGGGGGGACGTTTTTGAGGGGTGTACATTAAGGGGGGATGTTTTTGAGGGGTGTACATTAAGGGGGGACGTTTTTGAGGGGTGTACATTAAGGGGGGGACGTTTTTGAGGGGTGTACATACTGTCCTCGCTGAAGACAGGTGCGGTGAGTAGATACTGGAGAATCTTGCGGTCCTTCTCAAACGGACACTCCACTTTCTTCCAAACCATGAACTCGCTAACCTGCTTCGCCATCTCCCAGAATTTCTGAAAAACAACGATAAAACATGAAAACAATGTTAACACAACAGTGTTAATGTTAGCTGAATGCACTGCCTCGTATTCACCACCATAAAGGTGGTCAGTGTAGAAATTATGTAAACCTAACCACAACCTGATGGTAACATTCACTTATCTGACGACTGTCTACGCTGATGACTGTCTACGCTGATGACGGTCTACGCTGATGACTGTCTACGCTGATGACGGTCTACGCTGATGACTGTCTACGCTGATGACTGTCTACGCTGATGACGGTCTACGCTGATGACTGTCTACGCTGATGACTGTCTACGCTGATGACTGTCTACGCTGATGACTGTCTACGCTGATGACTGTCTACGCTGATGACTGTCTACGCTGATGACTGTCTTCGCTGATGACTGTCTTCGCTGATGACTGCTTTATAGACTATGAATAGGGTCTCCAATGATAAAAGTGCTTTACAGACTGTGAATAGGGTCTCCAATGATAAAAGTGTTAATTCCACTGTAGTGCAGCTGGTAAGTCTTACTTCCTCATTCTCTGTCAGGGGAAGCCTGTATATATATTGTTGCTGTGCAAACTGTCTCCTTTAGCAATGGGACATTTCTGGAACTGGTCGACCTGGGTTACATTAAAGCCTTACTTAATCTAGTTACAGAAGTGCCCAAACTCTTGTCAAAATGTATCCTCAGTAGTGAGCTATGATGGGCCAAACCCTCCCCGAAAAATATTGTTCATAAAAACATAAGATCATTCTGGAAGCCTCTGGTGGGCCAAACCAATTGTTGCCAGGGGCCAAGTTTGGCCTCCGGGCACCATATTGAGGACCCCTTGGGGAGTTCCTTACAAACAACAAACTGCTTCCCAAACACACCTCAAAGTTTATATGTCCGTTCTGCATCCTGTTGGAACATCCCTCGTTCAGGAAATAGATGTCTTTGATCAGTAGGCTGAAGAAAGGGATGACAATCTGAGCGAGAGAGAGAGAGAGAGACAGAGAGAGAGAGAGAGAGAGAGAGAGAGAGAGAGAGAGAGAGAGAGAGAGAGAGAGAGAGAAGCGAGAGAGAGAGAGATAGAGAGAGAGGAGAGAGAGAGAGAGAGAGAGAGAGAGAGAGAGAGGAGAATTTAAAACAGCAGTCAGGTTACAGGGGATTAGGTTACAGTGGTCAGGTTACAGTACGAGGGGTTTTCCAGCGGGAAACAATGTAGTGAGGTTTCCATGTTAATCACCACAAATACGCCTGTCAACAAATTCCCTACTTCACCCAGAGAGAGAAGTCAGGAGGTACTGAGAGGATGGTTTTCAGATAACCATCCCTTCAATAAGCCACGTCACCACAAAGAGTTAGGTTACAGAGTGAGGTTTGGGTTGGCCCTATCCCAGGCATTAGGTTACAGAGAGGTTTGGGTTGGCCCTATCCCAGGCATTAGGTTACAGAGAGGTTTGGGTTGGCCCTATCCCAGGCATTAGGTTACAGAGAGGTTTGGGTTGGCCCTATCCCAGGCATTAGGTTACAGAGAGGTTTGGGTTGGCCCTATCCCAGGCATTAGGTTACAGAGAGGTTTGGGTTGGCCCTATCCCAGGCATTAGGTTACAGTGTGAGGTTTGGGTTGGCCCTATCCCAGGCATTAGGTTACAGAGAGGTTTGGGTTGGCCCAATCCCAGGCATTAGGTTACAGAGAGGTTTGGGTTGGCCCTATCCCAGGCATTAGGTTACAGAGAGGTTTGGGTTGGCCCTATCCCAGGCATTAGGTTACAGAGAGGTTTGGGTTGGCCCTATCCCAGGCATTAGGTTACAGAGAGGTTTGGGTTGGCCCTATCCCAAGCATTAGGTTACAGAGAGGTTTGGGTTGGCCCTATCCCAGGCATTAGGTTACAGAGCGGTTTGGGTTGGCCCTATCCCAGGCATTAGGTTACAGAGAGGTTTGGGTTGGCCCTATCCCAGGCATTAGGTTACAGAGAGGTTTGGGTTGGCCCTATCCCAGGCATTAGGTTACAGAGAGGTTTGGGTTGGCCCTATCCCAGGCATTAGGTTACAGAGAGGTTTGGGTTGGCCCTATCCCAGGCATTAGGTTACAGAGAGGTTTGGGTTGGCCCAATCCCAGGCAACAGAGAAACAACAAGGTGGATATTAGGGTCATGTTCATTAGGCACCAAATGGAAGAAAACGGACTGGAACAGGCAGGGCCTTAATAAATTTAAACCATTAAGAAACACTCATTTTCATTTCACAATTCAAGAGGTTTTGCTACGGTGATCCCTACTAAACATTACCCTGGTGCCAGTGGAGGGTGGTGGGAGGAGCTATAGGAGGACGGGCTCGTTGTAATGGCTGGAATGGATTAAATGGAACGGAGTCCAACGGGGTTTCCATATGTTTGTTGTGTTTGATACTGTTCCATTTAATCCATTCCAGCCATTACAATGAGCCCATCCTCCTATAGCTCCTCCCACCAGCCTCCACTGCCTGGTGCCCTTTACCCACTGGGGTGAACAGTACAGATCCCTCAGCTAACCAAATAGATTGGCAGTACACCCAGTACATCAATAAACACAAATTGTTTAACCTTCCTTCCAGGGCTTGCTAGGTGCTAGGCTAACCTGCTAAAGCTAGGCTAACCCACTAGTCTAACCCGCTTGCCAAAGCTAACCCGCTAGGCTAAATCGTTAGCCAAGGCTAACCCACTAGGCTAACCCGCTAGGCTAAATCGTTAGCCAAGGCTAACCCACTAGGCTAACCCGCTAGGTTAACCCGCTAGCTAGGCTAACCCAGTAACACTAGGCTAACCCGGTGGACTAAAGCAAGCGGGATTGGAACAGGCTGGCCGGTTCACACGCGGTCAGGTCAGGGTGGGTTAGAGGGAGACAGACGCAAGCAGAGAGAGAGAGAGAGAGCATTATGGCAGCCATGTTCCCTTTTCCTTTCCTGAAAAGGAACTGAACATATTTTGATTGGAGGAGGAAAAGAGGCCCTCATGTTCTCTCTCTGACGTCCATACCAGACCCAGCTCTCTGACGTCCATACCAGACCCAGCTCTCAGCTGACCTATTCATGACTTCACCTCTTGACTTCTCTGCTTCAGAGTTGTAACAATGTCCCAACTGAACCAAAGACCTCAGAGTTTGTTGTGTTTAGTGTCAATAACACGACAACACTGAGCAGGGATAAGATCGAAGCAAACCAACCGATGGCTACACAGAAGGCTGTTCTGGAATGCTTTTCAAGTTCTTCTCATTCCCACCAAATTCCCTCCACTTGTTTTCTGTTTCCATGAAAGACACGGACGATACAGATCTCCACTTTATGTAATAATTAATTGCTGCTTATCAGTTGTGAGAGAGACGCCGTGTTTGTTAGTCTTCTGGGCTAAGTGGAGTGCAGCGTGCGTCAAACACTTCAAAACAACCCTTTTACTTTTTACATAAATGTCAGAAACATTTTAAATTGGTGTAGCTGGACAGATCACACACTTACTGGGTTACATGACATGGGCTCTGGGATAATTCAGACAGAACAGAGAACGTTCCCACCATTTGGAGAGATCAGAATCTACACGAATCACTAAAACTGTCTTGGTCTGAAATGGAGGGGGGAAATGGGGGGCGGCTGGCATTAGCCTCGTGGTTAGAGAGGCGGGCCAGTAACTGGAGGGTTGCGGGTTTGAATCCAAGGGCTGATGAGGAAGAATCTGTCTGGATAGACTCCGCAACTGAAGGCATCAGGATCAGCATCTCAGAATAGGAGTCCTGATATTGGAACAGGTCCACACTGTCCATGTAATCTTATTCATTGCAATCTAAAAAGCAATACTGTTCCCAGATCTGCTCTCCGACCCTTGACCCTCCCGTTGTCCTCGGGTCAAAATGACCCACCACTGTGTTGAACCAACTTTATTTAATATTTATATATTTTTTGGGATCATTTGTGAGAAGGAGGCAGTGATACTTTCTTTAAAGTCTCACTGCCTCCTTCTCACAAATGATCCCAAAAATATAAACATTAAATAAAGTTGGTTCAACACAGTGGCGGGTCATTTTGACCCGAGGACAACGGGAGGGTCAATACGGTTTATAAAACACAGGCCTTGAATCTCAGATGTGTGTGAACGTATCGAGGCTCACCTTCTCTCTAGTGCTGTTGGCCGTTCTAGACCTCTGTGTTGCTCCTCTAAACGCTGTTCTGTAGTTGTAGAAGTTACCGGAAGGATCCATCTGGTGCTGGAGAGAGGGAAGAGAGAGGGAAGAGCGATTAGCATTATAAACGCCAGTATAGCAGCAGAAAGTCAGTTCTCAGATGAAATATGTTTAGAAGAGGCCTTTTTCTTCTAGCTTACAGCCTCAGAGTGAGATGGAGACCGTACGCTTTAGTTCACCTTTAGTCCATCTCCCTCATCATATAGTATATGGATACATGCATTGACTGCATTACTACTTGGTAAATGTAATTGTAAACATATGGTCATGGTTAAAATATGGTCGTTAGTCAGTCATTGGCCAGGCTTGGAGCGATGGTCTACCCTTCATAGAGGAAAATCAGAACCCACAACCTCACCACTCCACCCTTCCCCTAAAAAAGGTTTCTTGCTTGTGGGAGAAACCTTCTCAATGACTCGATCAATCACTCACACATAAACCAACCCTGTCAAATCAACTGCAGGCACACATATGCAGCAAGACAGATGGAGCCATCAAACCAGGCTATCAGCACTCTGACCTCTATCAACACAGAGGGAGGACAATAACCTAACACCACAGCCACCAACAACATCACTAGCAGGAACATCCCTACACACACAGAGAGAGACAGAGAGAGACAGAGAGAGACAGAGAGAGACAGAGAGAGACAGAGAGAGACAGAGAGAGACAGTGAGAGACAGAGAGAGAGACAGAGAGAGAGAGAGAGCGTGAGAGAGAGAAACCTGTTCCTTTGATGGCTCCTGGGTTACACTGGGACCCAACCTGGTTTATCATTTTAATCTCTGCTACTTCACATCTCCTGACTTGAAAGCCCCCTTCTATATCTGGTTCCTCCACAAACCCCCAGGGAGCTCAGTATTATCTGAGCCCCAGGTAGAGCTCTACGTCTAGGGCTAGCCATCCCCCAGGACCTGCCTCTCCCTCCATCCCCATGGAGCTACTTCCAACAGCTCAGAGGCAGTCCATTAGGCTTTTAAAGATAACATGGGAAGGTTAACTAAGCACTAGGTGCCTTTTAATTTCTGTCGCTAGATTGTATGATGCATAAGCTCAAGTGCATGACACTACATGCAGCAAGTGACAATTAAAGTGTGTGTGTGTGTGTGTGTGTGTGTGTGTGTGTTTGTGTTTGTACCTCCAAGATGTCAAACTTGGCAGTCTTGACTTTGCTCCAGGTCTTCTTCAGTCGAGAGACGGGGCTCATGTTCATCCCAGCTGCAGAGCAAGAAAAGAGAGAAGGCTGACAAATTAGTAGAAACACACAGACACACAGCTTTCACACAGACAAACAGACACACAGCTTTTCCCCGTTGAAACAGACAGACATAACAACAACCCCCTTCCTGCACCCATTCTTAAGCTGTAGTCTCTCACTCCCTCTCTCTCCTTCTCCCCACCTCTCCTCTGTTCCTCCTCTTTAGAAGCACCGAGGCAGATAGTGCTCACACGCCCCACTTCCCCCTCCCATATGGTAATCACGGGTCTGTCTGTGTGTCATGAGAGACATACACTGATCAAGGTTCTAAAAGACTAATAAAGCTGGTCCTATATCAGCACTCCTACTCTGAGAATCTTTGTAAAATAAGAGCCCATATTAGGTTCTGATTTCCAGAGGGTACGAAAGGCTTTTAAATGCGGGGCAATTTGGCAAGAGAGACCGTAAAAATTTATGTAAAAACAGTGTGTAAACATGTCTAGTGTAATAAACAGTGTGTAAACATGTCTAGTGTAATAAACAGTGTAAACATGTCTAGTGTAATAACAGTGTGTAAACATGTCTAGTGAAAAAGTGTGAAATTCTGGTAAAAAAAGGTGTTAACATGTCTAGTGTAATAAACAGGGTGTAAACATGTCTAGTGTAATAACAGTGTGTAAACATGTCTAGTGTAAAAACAGTGTGTAAACATGTCTAGTGTAATAAAAAGTGGTAAAATGTCGTTAAAAACATGTGTAAAAAGTCTATGTAAAAAAGTGTGTAAAAATTCGTGAATAAACATGTGTAAACCTGTCTAGTTAATAAAAAGGTGTAAACAGCAGTGAATAAAAAAGTGTGTAAAAAGTCAGTGTAATAAAAGTGTGTAAAATGTCTAGTGAATAAAAAGTGTGTAACATGTTAGTGTAATAAAAAGGGGTAAAAATGTCTATGTAATAAAAAGTGGGTTTAAAAAATTCTAGTGTAAAACATGGTAAAAGTCATGTAAAAAAGTTTAAAACAGGGCTAGTGTAATAACAGTGTGAAAAAATGTCTGTGGGAAAAACAGGTGTAAACTGTCTAGTGTAATAACAGGTGTAAAAATGTCTGTGTCTAACGTGTGTAAACCCCGTCTAGTTAATAAAAAGTTTTTTAAACATTTTTAGTGTAATAACAGGGTTGTAAGCGTCTTTAAAAACAGTTGTAAAATGTCTAGGGAAAACGTGTGTAAAAAGTCTAGTGATAACAGTGTGTAAAAATGTCAGGTAAAACAGTGTGTAAACAGGCTGTGTAAAACATGTGTTAAATGTTATTATAAAAAGTGTGTAAACATGTCTAGTGTAATAAACATGGTTAACAGTCAGGTTTAAAAACAGTGTGAAAAATGTATAGTGTAAAAAACAGTGTGTAAACTGTCAGTCTAAAAACAGTGGTTAAAAATGTTAGTGTAATAACGTGTTTAAAGCTAGGGGAATAAACAGTGGGTAAAATTCTATGAATAAAAAGTGTGTTAAAAAGTCTATTTTAAACGTGGTAAAAAGTATAGTGTAATAAAAAGTGTGTAAAAAATGTCTAGTTAAAACAGTGTGTAAACATTCTATGTAATAACATGTGTAAACGTCTAGGTAATAAACTTTTGTAAACATGCATGTAAAAAACATGTGTAACATGTCTAAAGGGAAAAAACATGTGAAAAATGTCTAGTGAATAAAAATGTTAACAGTCTATGTAAAAACAGTGTGTAAACATGTCTAGTGTAATAAACAGTGTGTAAACATGTCTAGTGTAATAACAGGGGTAAACTGTCGTGTAAAAAACATTTTTTAAAAGTCTTGTAATAAACAGGGTTAAATGTCTAGGTTTTAAACAGTTGTTAACATTCAGTGTAATAACAGGTGTTTAAAAATTTAGTGTAATAACGTGGGGAAACATGTCAGTGTAATAAAAAAGGAGGGTAACAGAGGGTACATTGTGTTGACTGGTGGTACTATAACTCACACATCTCCTCTCTCTTTGTCACAACGTTATGGAGCTGTCTCAACTTACTCAGTGTTTATACAATGTCAGAGCTGCTCGTCACACACACTACACTACACTACACTACACTACACTACACTACACTACACTACACTACACTACACTACACCACACTACACCACACTACACCACACTACACTACACTCACTAACCGCAGCAGCCAGGCAGAGAGAGACAGAGCCCATTTTCCCAGGGACTCGTTTGTTTGGTGTTCTCTTTTTAACCGTCCACGACTCCATCTCTGGGTCCCTGGAGACTGAGGGTCTCTGCTTGTGGCTCCATCTCCAGGGAGAGAGGGGCTAGGGCTCTCTCCCTCCCTCCCTGGTCAGTGCTAACCATCGGTCTAATATGGGTGTTTGTGTATGCCTGACTAGCTGCCCCTCCAACACCCCCTCCACCCCAGCCTTCAGGCCTGACCAGCTGCCCCTCCACCACCCCCTCCACCCCAGCCTTCAGGCTGACCAGCTGCCCCTCCACCACCCCCTCCACCCCAGCCTTCAGGCCTGACCAGCTGCCCCTCCACCACCCCCTCCACCCCAGCCTTCAGGCCTGACCAGCTGCCCCTCCACCACCCCCCTCCACCCCAGCCTTCAGGCCTGACCAGCTGCCCCTCCACCACCCCCTCCACCCCAGCCTTCAGGCCTGACCAGCTGCCCCTCCACCACCCCCTCCACCCCAGCCTTCAGGCCTGACCAGCTGCCCCTCCACCACCCCCTCCACCCCAGCCTTCAGGCCTGACCAGCTCCCCCTCCACCACCCCCTCCACCCCAGCCTTCAGGCCTGACCAGCTCCCCCTCCACCACCCCTCCACCCCAGCCTTCAGCCTGACCAGCTGCCCCTCCACCACCCCCTCCACCGCAGCTTTTAGGCCTGACTAGTCAAAGATGGATCTTGACAGACAGCAGGCATCGGCAACGTAAGGCCAGCAGGCGAGGGTATTTGCCTTGGCACGTCAAGCAATTTGATAAAATTGAAATTGCATTCGTTTCAAAATTGCATTCATTTTCCATAAATGGCTACTGCTTTGGACCTGACACCGTTTGTGAGAGTATTCCTTAGGCCTACTGTATGTGTGGAGATAATGTGTCTTGGGTATCATTTAAAATGTTGAGTCAAGAAGAACGGGAGTGTTGCTAAAATGCACAAGGAGTGTCTCTCTCCAGAATGCACTCCCTCCCGTCAATTCGTGCTTATTCATTATTTCATAACTTCATTGTGTGAATTGTTTGCCCTTTGAATTTTTATGTCTATCATTTCCCCATTACATCCCGTATATCACCATTAGTACATTTACCTTTAATCCCCACTATTTCTAATCTACAATGTTTATTTGGTTAATTTAGATTTAGATTAAGGACATGACAATGATTTTGACAATGATTTTGAGATAATATATTACTGTAGCTCAGCTGGTAGAGCACGGCGCTTGTAACGCCAAGGTAGTGGGTTCGATCCCCGGGACCACCCATACGTAAAAATGTATGCACGCATGACTAAGTCGCTTTGGATAAAAGCGTCTGCTAAATGGCATATTTTATTTTTTATAAATGAAAATAAACTGTTCCAAGAAAATGTGCAAATGAAAATCATAATTGGCAGACTGGTAGAAATTGTAAGATCAATTGTAAATTGGCACTCCACGTGAAAAAGGTTGTCTACCCCTGGATTAGAGCCACTCTGCTCAAGATTAGCAATTTTAGTTGAAAGTTCCCCTTTCTATTCAGGTCAAGGACAATTTCTATGGCCAAATGGGTCACTTTTATTGGGAAAACTTCAGCCCAAAAGAAAGAAATAAGCTAGATTTGAAAGACTTTTAAGGCGATGTCGTTTCGGGTTGGGGATAATATAGGGATTAGGAAGGTACAAAGTCTTGCTGAACAACAAATTGCATTTACTGATTGAATTTCCTGACTGTCGACAAAAAGCCTTTTGTGTGTACAGCAAGTGAGCAGTGGACTGATTTGTGACAAGGGGGGGGTGAAAAAACAACAACAAATAGAAAAACAACGATAAACACTTACAGATAATGGCCATGAGAGAGTTGAAGTTGCCGATGTTGAAGCATTCCCGCGCCACGTCGATGAAGAACTCGATGACTCGCACTCGCTGCTTCTTCTTTACAGGCTGTCAAGTCAACAACAATAACAAGTCAACAACAACAAAAGCTCAAAATAAACCCTCAGGTCAAAAAGTAAAAAAAGATACGTGATGATAGCCAAGGTACCGCTAGCTAGCTAATTTAAATAAGCCGCAGTAAGGTAAACACTAGCTAAGTTAGCTTAGCTGCAATAGGGTAAACGCTAGCTCACTAGCTACGCACCATGCAGATCTCTGTGGCCACCATGAAGCTGAGTCTGTTGAACCACTCGACATACGCCTCCAGGTTGCTAGCCTTCTTGTGGTCGCTGAAGCAGCTCTGTGGAGACAAACACAGCCATTTCATTTAGATGGCATAGATAGTGTAACATTTAGTTATCAATAGCATTTCATTAGCATTACTTACCTTATTTTTAAATTAGGTATTTTGCCAACAACAAAATGAGTAAAACAGTTCAACATTCTGCCGTTTTATTTCAAAAAGTGAACCTAGATCCCCACATGGATGTATAGGCTTCATAGTTGTCTTTGTAATTAGACTATTATTGCAGACTTGGCACTATGCTCTGAGTCACACCTTCCGGGTGTTAGCGAGCTAGCTATTTACATTATTGAGCAGAGCTGTGATTATTCGTCAAAAGACCAGAGGTATTTCTCTCTGATCCTAATAAAACATTCCTTAAGTAGCTCTCTCCACAGTGGTCACCTCACACCCTCACACACACACACACACACACACGGCCCCTCCCAACCCTTTGGAAGTGGATGTAGAGGTAGCCCAAGGCACAAAAGAAAGAGCGCCAAAATCCCCCCCCCCCCCCCAAGTCTCATTGTTGCCTAGCAGCAAAAACGCTGGCGAGCAGACACACACACACAAGCTCCACGCAGCCTCCCAAAACAAAACTCTTGGGTTTTGTAGCTGAGTGGTTGCTAGGCGATACGGCCCAAGCATTCTATGCCCTCCAGACAG